CGCATTGCATTTTGCCGTGTATCAAATTAAGTGCTACAATCGTATATTTTGAATTTGTTTCATAATTTCCTTGTCAATAAAATGGATCTTAATACGTCGGTTTCCACATGCAATACCAGTACGAAAATAAATTGAAAAAGTACTATACAACGATATGTTTCCTGTAAAAATCATTGGTAATGGCAATGACGATACAAATAAGAAATTCGAAAAGGCAAAATCAGGTTTTTTCGATTTTGAAACGGACATACTATGGTTCAATGTTCTGCAACTTGTTGTGTTGCATACCATTGGTATTTATGGTTTACTAACTTTCGACTACATGAAAAATCCGATGACTACACTGTGGAGGAAGTGTACCCATCTCAGAAATTTTAACATGTACATAGAAATCTAAGAAATTTTCAAGATTTTCAGAGCACTTTTCTGCGTAATTCTAATATGACCTCTTTAAAATATTATCTTTAGTGTAAGATTAAAGTAATCGGGATTGGTGCTTCATCGGCAGAATAGTTTCTTTTCGCGCAGTGAAAAATATTAATGATAGTGCTGATACAAATCCGTTTCAGGTGAACTACAATTCACGTTAAAGTTCGAGATAGAAATCTATTATGTATAATAATAAAAATGTTTAAAAAATCAGAATATACATTTAATAAAAAACATAATTTAAATATCATTAATATTTTTATATTTATTTTGATTTTTTTAATGTTTTCTGTATTATACACACGGAATACAAAATATTGAATGACATACTATCTTAAATTTTGTCACCAATTATAAGCCTACTTAAAATAAATTTTATAAATCGCGGAAATTATTATTGTTTGTAATTTTTGTGATTATTAAATTGATTTATAATTTATTAGAATTTATTAAGTATTTCACACAAACTTGTTAATAATATTTATCGATATCTAAATTATTTAAAATACTAAAAAATATCGTCGACACTAACTAGAGTGACGAATTAATTTTATTTTATTATTTTATGATAAAAAGCTGTAATATTTCCTTCACTAATTATTTCATTTGCATAT